TTTCCCTTTGCCATTGAGGACGGCTCTGACTTCCCACCCCTACGAATCCTTCCATGTTGGATGAGAACCACCCACAGCTAGTGGAAAGCTGGCTTGGGGAGCCAATGTTTTGTAGGCGTCACAAACAGGCCTGCCCCAGCTGCTCGTCCACCCTTTTCCCTGCAGGAGCCATTGAGTATTCTGTTTGGTGGCTCCCGTGTTTTCAAGAAGGGTGGCTGAGCTGAATCCCAGCACTTTGGGAGGCCGAGGCAGGAAGATCACTTGAGCCCAGGAGCCGGAGATTGCAGAGAACTGTGATCACACCACTGTACTCCAGCCTGGGTGACAGAGTTAGACCCTGTCTCTAAAAAATAAGATAAAAACGTCTTGGGGCAGGTGCAAGGTGCGCCGGACCCTGTGGGCTAGCTCAGCTCTCCGCCAGCTCCGGGCTGGCTGCTTGGGTAGGCCCTGTGGGCTTTTCTTTTTTCTTTTTTTGAGATGGAGTCGGCCTCTGTCACCCAACCTGAAATGCAGTGGCATGATCTCAGCTCACTGTACCCTCCGCCTTCTGGGTTCAGGTGATTCTCCTGCTTCAGCCTCCTGAGTAGCTGAAATTACAGGCAAACACCACCATTCCCAGATAATTTTTGTATTTTTTTAGTAGAGACAAGGTTTCGCCATGTTGGCCAGGCTGGTCTCGAACTTCTGACCTTAGGTGATCTGCCCAGTTTACAACTTCTGCTTCAAAGTACAACAAAAGTAAATACACACACACACACACACACACACATACACACACACATACACATACATACACACATACATACACACATACACACACATACATACATACATACATACACACATACATACACATATACACACATACACACATATACACACATACACACACATACACACACATACATACACATACACACACATACACACATACACACACATACATACACACATACATACACATATACACACATACACACACACATACACACATATACACACATACACACATTACACACATACATACACACATACACACATACACATACACACACATACACACACATACACACACATACATACATACACACATACACACATACATACACATATACACACATACACACATACATACACACACATACACACATATACGCACACACACACACATACACACATACACACACATACACACATATACACACATACACACACATACATACACACATACACATACACACACACATACACATACATACACGCACATACACGCACATACACACACATACACACACACGCACACACACACATACACACACACACACACACAAGATTTTTCTCTATGGTCATAGTTCTAGCTGTGCATGTGAGGCTTGGCTCCATGCTCATTTGGGTGTCTTTTGGGCTGTTACTGATAGTGTGACGCAGGCCCCTTGGGTGTGATCTAGCAGCCAGTCAGGCTCTTGGGGTAGCCAAGGTCCAAGCTGCTCAGGCTGCCAAGCCCCCCAGCGTCAGTCCTCACCCTATAGACGCCTTGTTCTTCCAGGCCGGCCTTGAGGGTGGGGAGTTCTTTCCAGAGTGGCTGGATTTGATCTGACATCATGGCTGACCATGTGAATTTGAGCCTGAATGGGCATCTCCTGGGTGTCAGGCTGACAAAGCATATTTTAGAGACAGGGTCTCGCTCTGTCACCCAGGCTGGAGGGCGATAATGTCATCACAGCTGGCTGCAACCTCAGGCTCCTGGGAGTCCCATCTACCCGGAGGTTGGGACCAATGGAAGGGTAAAGGCTTGACCCTAAAATGTGCCCAGGAGCAAGTGCTGGAAAATGGACATAGGCTCAGCCATCTCCACTTGCCTCCTTCCCCCTCTGTTGATGCATTCATTCATTCATGTGTTCATTCACTTGCAACACATTTTAACTGAGTGCCTGCTCTGTGCTGAGAATATAGCAGTGAGCTGGCCAGACAGGTCTCTGCTCTCGTGGAGCTGACATTCTGGGGACCGAAGACGGTAATATCAGTGACAATGCCCAGGACAATTTCAGGTGGTGATAAACACTGATGAAAATGAACAGGGTGTTGAGTTAGTGACGGCCTTGGCAGTTTCTTTAGATACAGGGTCAGCGAGGGACTCTCTAAGGAGGTGACATTGAGCTGGCACCTGAAGATAGAAGATGACAGTCTCAGGCAGACGGAACAGCAGTGCAAAGGTGCTGAGGCAGGCACGAGCCGGACTATTTGCCAGGTACTTAGGAAGGAATGGTTGAATGACGGGAAGGGAGATGGCAGAGACGAAGCCCAACGGCAGGATTTGGCCCCAACCTGGGCGGGAGCCCCCGGATGTGTACAGCAGGCTCCAGACAGCTGCAGCCCGGCCAGGGCCACAAAACATGCTTCCCGGTGTCCCCAGCAACTTCCAAACTCAGCCTCGGTCAGTGTCCCCGGAGACTTCCTAACCCAGCCTCCGTCTCCCCTCCTGTATCCTAACCCAGCCTCCGTCTCCCCTCCTGTATCCTAACCCAGCGTCCGTCCGTCTCCCCTCCTGTAAAATGGGTATGTTTTAAGTTTTTCCCTCACAAAGCAATTGAGCTGTTTGGGAAGCTCTTAGCTGCTACTGTTAGTAAGCATAGTCCAGGAGGCCCCAGGGAGGCAATTAGGGTGCACAGTGTTCTTTGGCAGTTTTCTAAAGCTACTGTTCCCATTAGTTGCTCGTGGACTGCCACTCAGGGCCCAGTAGCAAACAGAGTAGCAAACTAGGGGCTCTGTCAGTGATGGGGGAGGGCGGGGCTCTGTCAGTGATGGGGGAGGGCGGGGCTCTGTCTGTGATGGGGGAGGGGCGGGGCTCTGTCTGTGATGGGGGAGGGGCGGGGCTCAGCGGATACCTTCCCAGAGCCCAGATTCCCAGCACTCATTTGGAATCACCTGCAAGTCAGGTTCTTCACCTCTCCAGGTCTGTTTCCCTGCTTGTGACCAGGACCCCTCCTGCCCCAGGATAAGTGCTCACTCAGTGCTGGTACTGCTCCCTGCCATCTGGGAGGTGGGATTAATAACCCAACCGATGGCCAGGAAAGGAAGGGCCAGTCCCTTTCGGAACAGGCGCTGCCCCTTCTCCTGGCCTCAGTCTTGCCATCTGTGACGTGGTCGGCTCAGAAAACATTGCCGCTTGAGTCTATAAGGCTTTCTGTGAGGGGTTTCCTGGGACCTTACAAAGCTGACAGACCCCCTACCTGCCCCTCTCCTATGCCTGTGGGGAGCCCTTGAGAGGCAGAAGCTGGAAGAACCCCTGAAGATACCCCAAATGTCCCTCTTCCAACTTCAAATCTCAGAGCTGAATCTCATGGAAATGCAAATCCCGAGAGGGTTTTCAGGTGATGGAGGGGGGCTGCCAGGTGGCCTGGGGCTGGCAGAGGAGGCCTGCTTCCCTCTCCCAAACCCTAGGTGGGGAAGTGGGTGTGGGGGGGCCGGTCAGGCCTTCCTCCTGCAGCTCCAGCTTTTTGCCTGTGGATTCTCACCATCCGGCTGGGCAGAAATGGAGCCGGTGGGGCCAGAACAAGGAGGGTGAGGTCCACTGACCTATGACCCCTCCTGTTCCAGTCTGCAGACTGCTCCCCTCCACACCCACTTCCCTTTTTCCAGATAATGTCAGCCCCAGAGTCCTCCCCCCCCCCGCCCCGTCCCCCAAAAGCCCACAACGGAAGAGCCCGAGGGGGTAGAGAGGGACCTGGCTGCAGGGAGCCCGGCAACCCCAGCGTCCTGGCGGGAGGTGGAGGCGCGCAGGGCCCCTGGAAACCATGGCTGCCTCCCCACCGCAGCCATTCCCCGCTCTCCCTGGGGGTTCTCAGATGTTGCCAGATGGCAGAACTGAATCTGCTGAGACGTCACTCCAAAAAAGGAAAGTTGAACTGAAAAAAAAAATTCAAACTCTCCAACATCTTAGGAGAAAGCAAAAGAGGGGGGAGGCTCCTCGCCTGGGGCTCCCAGTGCCCTCTGCTGTTCAAAGAGAGCTCCCCTGGTTGGAGAGGGCCAACCTGGAGGGTGGGGAGGAGGGGGTAAATGAGGACACTGGTTTGTCAGGGCAGCCAGCGGGGCCAGGTTCCTGCTGGAGCAGAGAGTGTCTGCCTCTGCGTGGGGGAGCAAGCACATGTGTGCCGTCTGTGATTGGGCGCTTGTGCAGGCCGGGCGTGCGTGGCTCCTAGGGGCACGCTCTGGGATGTGTGTGTGTGTGTGTGGGCGGGGGTGGGGGCACTGGCTCGATGCATTGTCTCTGCATTTGTGTCCCTGAATGTCCCCAAGTGGGACTTCACTCAACACATTCTTGAGTCCCTACTGCAAAAGGGCAGTGAACAAAATAGAAATCTCTGCCCTTATGACACTGGCATTCTGGCGTCTGTGTCCTCCGGGGTGCTGTGAACTCGCGTGGGTGTCCCAGTGTTTGTCTGTGTGACACCTGGCATATCGGGTCCGGGGCAGGAGGTGAGTCCGCAGGGTGTTCACCCGGGCTGCGTCTCGGGTCTCGGGAGGCCCAGCGTGCTCCTGTCTGGAGAGGGCTCTGCGCGCTACTGTCTGCTCGCGTCCCCAAGTGCCCCACCAAGCGTGCTCTTAAAAGGCCCCGTGTGAGGCCCTCCCTGCGAGCCCCCTCCCCATCCAGCGGCCCCTCCAGACTTATAATTTAATAGCTGAAACGCGATTCCAGTAAGGTGCGGAGACTGGGGAGGAGGAGGATGCGGCAGGCTGGGAGGCGCTTCCCCGCACCTCCACGGGGAGCTACCAAAAAGAAACTCGGCGTCGCGCCCAAGTGTGTGCGTGCGTGTCCGTGTGTATGGCGGCGTGCGCGCGGGAGTGGGGACGCGCAGGCCCTGGGGAGGAGGCGCGGGCCCTTTAAGGAGCCGGAGGGGGCCGGGCCGGGGCGCGTCTGTGCGGGCGGGGAGCCGGGAGCTGGGAGGCCGAGCCACCGCCTCCCGGGCTCCCGCCCCGCCCCCTCCTCCCCCTCCCGCCGCCCCCGCCGCCGCCGCCACCGCCGCCGCGGCTGCCGGGGAGCGCGGAGCCGCGGGCAGGCCGGGCCGCACCGGAGCCCCGCGTCAGCCCGCGCCCCGCCCAAGCCCTGCGCCCGCGCCCTGCGCCTCACGATGCGCGCCAAGTTGCGGGCCGGGGACCCCGGGCCGGCGCCCTAGGAGGCGGCGGCGGGAGGATCGCGTCCCGACCCGAGGCTAGGCCTGCTGCGCGCCCCCAGCCCGATCCGCACCGCCACTTGCCTGAGCGCCCCGGCGGCCCGGGAGCGCCCCAAACCCGGGGGCCACTGCTGCCACCTCCGCGAGGTGAGTTGGGGACGAGGGTCCCCGCGGAGGGCGGCTGGGGGAGGCGCGGGGCGCGCTTCCGGGGGATCCGGGGAGGATCTGGCGGCGCACGCGGCGGAGTTGGCGGGGCCCCTGCACTCCGAGTTGGCGCTCTCGGGGGGTGGCCTGCTGGGGAGCCAGGCGCCCCGCCGACACTGCGGCCCGCGTGCTCGGGGGCGCCGGGGAACTTAGGGGAACTCCAGCTCCCCAGCGAGGGGGCGGGAAGGAGGGAAGTAGCGTTGGGTGGGCGAGGGGCGCGCTGGAAATGCACGGAGCGGCCACCCACCGTGTGCGCCGGCTCTGGGGACTTGGCCGCCAGGCGTCCGTGGTCCCCGGTGCAGCCCCAGACCTGGGGGGACGGCGACACTGCGCCTTATTTTCCTTCAAGCAGCGCGGGTTTGAAAGCCCTTGGAGATGGCACCCTGAGCTCCCTGGCCTGGTTGTTGTGGAGGGGCGCGTGGGGTCTCCCACCAGCCGAGGGTGAGAGCCAGCCTTGCCCGTAGTGGACTTGGGGCCACGGGGCGCTGGGCGGGGTCCCTAGGGAGAGGCGTCCCTGTCCCCCTCCCCCGCGGGCCGGTGTTCCTGGTGTCTGGGCCTGCCTCCCGCGGCTGGTGACGCCTCATTGGGCCGCCTCCTGGTCCCTCCCCCGGGCTGTGCGGTTACTTGGGATGCCACTACTTTGCGAAGTTGGAATTCAGAGCTGATCCCACTTGGGCAGAACTGGGAAGCCCCGGGCCTAGGTGTTGAGGGCAGCTTCCTCCGAGGCCTGCGGGGTGTGGGGGCACCCGTGGGGCGCGCTCTTCCCGCCCCAGACACTTGCAGGACGAGCAAGCCGAGGGCAGGAGGGCACGGAGGGCGGGAGGGACAGAGACCCTGTACCTGGGAGCTGCTGTCGCCTGGGCCCAATTACCGTGCGGCGCCCGGCGTTATTTTTACATCGTAGGTTTATTTTTTTGGAAGCAAGTGTCCTCCCGCCGCCTGTTCGCGCGCTCGGGCTCTCCGAGGGTCTGGTGCTGGCAGCGGGGGCGGATCTGTTCTGGCGGCTCAGCCTCCTCCCTTCCTCCCCCTCCTCCTCTCCCCCGTTGGTGAGAACTGGGTTTATTATGATTATTATTTTTTTTTCCTTTTTGCAGATATGGAGGAAGGATGTGTGAGGGCGGGAAGGGGGGAGGGAAGAGGGGAGGAGGGGAGAAGGCGGAGGACCCTGTGGGCTGGGTGGGGGATTTCTGGGCACATTGGGATGTGTTACCGCTGGCCTTGACTTTGCCCCTTTTCAGCCAGGTCTTGGTCCCTGCGGCAGCTTTGATATGAGGGGCTCTCGTGGTCAGGCTGCGCCGGGAGTACGACCCCGGGCAGGCTGTGCACCTCGTGGGTGGCCTCTTTTGGGCATGCTGAGGAGGGGCCGAGCAATGGGAAGCAGCCTTGAGGTGGTGGGATGGCGCACTGTGCACCTCAACTCCTTGGGTTCGAATCTGACTTTTGCCACTTTCCTGGGAATGTGATCCTGAACAGAGACTTAATCTCTCTGTGCCCGTCAGGTTTCCCATCTGCACCATGAGGGTCAGAATGGCACTGAGTTCACAGGGTGGTGGTGACAGCTGACCGTCTGTCCCAATCAATCCCTAGGTACTTGGAGGTGTTACTGTGACTACTGTGTCGCCATTGTTACTCCTGGGTTCTAAGATTTCGCTTTTAATCCAGCCTGGCCCTGTGAAAAGGGGCCACCTTATCTTTGCCTGGGGGTGGGCAGTGGGGACATCTGGGGAAGGGAGGGGGCCTTTTCCCACTCCCCTCTGCTTGTCCTGAGAGGATGAAGAAGGGCAGGTGCCCCCACCCATTGAACAGATGCAAAGACTGAGTCAGGCCCAGCAGAGCGCTGATGGGGGGTGGAGCCTGCGGCTACTGGCGAGTCAGCAGCGGCTGCGAGGGCATCCCGGGCCCTGTCTGGCTTCCCCGAGCCGACTGCCGTGTCCCTGCTTGGAAATTCACTGCTGCCACCGCCAGCGGGTGCCGGGGGAGTCTGTGGTGCCCGTGCCCAGACGCGGGGGCGGGAGCATAGCGGGCCCCAGCCCTGGCCTCTTCCCACTGAGCTATTTACGCTGCTGGGGATCAATAGTATTGATAAATCCATGTAAATGGTAATGTGGCTGTCAGGCCCCGGAGACCCCGTCTGGGGCTGCGCGCCCCCTCCCCCTCTCGGAGAGGGTTTGGTTATGTGGGAAGGATTTATTTGGCATAATCTGTTCTTTTCCCCCAATTAATAATACTCATGCCACCTCCTAAAGATTTCCCCCGGCTCTGCAAACACGAATTTACTGCATGGAAGCCCTGGGCTGGGGAGGGCTCGATTGTTCTCCGGGCCTGGCGGGGGAGGGGGCGCTGGCAGCGCAGACACCCACCGCGGTAGTTGGAAGGCAGCCCCAGGAGGCCTGGCCCCCAGCGTCTGCCATTCACGCTGGATGTGGAGGCTGCCTGGCCTGGTTTCCCCCTGGCTGAGAGGGGGCGCGATCTTACTTCTGTGTTCCCAACCCCCACCTGAGAGTGTGGGTGGAGAAGTTGGTGCTTCTCTCTGAGATGGGAGGCGGGGGTGATACCTACGCAGAGCCCAGCCGGAGGGTCTCCTGGGGTACCGCCTGTGGGAAGGGAGAGCTTTCGGCAGAGAAGCCCCAGCTCTTCCTCCTGACGCTGTCTGAACTGAAAGGCCCGGTAAATGCCGCCTGTGACCGCGGGGGGTTGAGAGCTTTTATTTGTGTGTGTGTTTTTCCCGTCTCTGTTCCTCTTCACATCTCAGAGGCTAAACAGCAGCTTCCCCAGGTGACACCTTGGAGACTGGGGACCTGCTGGCAGGAGCTGGTAACTCCCGCCCGAGGTGCGGGGTGGGGGGGGGGGCACGGAGGGGCCAAGCTCGGGTTGCTGTCTGAGGAGGGCCAGGTTTTTTTAGGCGCAGACCAAGGGTGGCAGCTTAGAAGGCTCGAGTACCTAGGTGGGTGTGTGGGGTCCTCAGGGAAGTGATGCTCGGGAAAGGCCAGCTGGGCATCTTTTGAGGGAGCTTAGAGGCAGGGAACCGACTTTACAACCCATCCTGTGAACTCTCAGCCTCCACGCTGGAAAAGGCCATCGACACTACGCTAGTGATAACCCACACCCCTGTGTGCCAGGAACTGTGCTCTACAAAAAGCCGCTTGTCTTCTCTTCATAACCCTTCTGTGAGTTGGCGTGTTTATGATCATAGTTTATAGATGGTGAACTTGAGGCACAGAGAGGTTAAGTGACTTGCCCGAGGTCACACATTGGATGTGGAACTGGGAATTGAGACCTGGGATTATTCAGGATCGTGCTGGCGCAGCACGACTTGTGCCCGCAGAGCTGCTTTGCGGAGCTGCCGTGGAGGACGTGAAGACAGAAGTGACGTTTCTTCTTTGAGCAGCACCTATGGATCTTTGCCCCAGGCGGGGCAGGAGACGGAGAAGTTGTTCTCCGCAGGGTTTGGGGAGAAGGACAGGGCCTGGCATTTCTTTGAAGTCTCATTTTATCTTAAGCACTCATGCAGATTTGGCATTCGCCTTGGTGACGCTGCTCTGTTTATTTTGAAATGAAAACATGGTTTTGAATTATTTAGCACGGTGCTCCAGAAAGCTGCAGCTCGGTGTTCTGTGGCCTGGAGTGCCCACAGGCCAGCGCATCGCCCTGGGGTACGGTGCTGCCGGAGGGCTTGTGCTCAGCGAGGCCCTGGGGCAGACCGTGGCTTCGCTCCCATTTTACAGATGACGGCACAGGCCCAGGCTCGCCCAAGGTTGCACAGCGGGAGGACCGGTGCTTATGTTGTTATTACCGTGTCTGCTGCAGAGCCGAGTGAGGCTTCTGAGCCCGGGCACTTCCACACTGCTCCGCCCATTTGGCCCCAGACAGCCTTGAGGAAGGAGCTTTTGGTTTATAAATCTAGAAAGAATTGTCCTAAACAAACATTAGAGGATAATCCCCAAGAGAGGCGCCAAGTTAGCACTGCAAGCTCCAGCGTGGCCATTTACAAACAGTGGGCCCAGGTGAGTGCCCCCGGCTCTCAGGGGTTAGCTGCCCTCATCTGCAAAATGGGGACATTGCTGGCCACCTGTGCCTCAGTGGAGCTGCAGGGCGAAGGGCATGGAGATTGGGTTTGCCGCTCAGCTCTGTAGCTTCAAGCTGGGAACGAGTTATTCACCTTTTGGGGCCTCAGTTTGCGCATCTGTAAAATGGGGATGCTGCTGCTGCTTGTGACTGTGGTTGTGAGGACTGAATGAGCTCCTGTGTGTCGCAGGAGCTGGTTTCCATCTTCTGCTCTCTGTTGGAGCAGGAACTTTGCTATGGAATTTGTTGTGTGGACCCGGGTCCCCACCTAGACTGCTCGGACACCACCCGTTCCTCCCTCTTCACAGTTGCTCAGAAGGGTCCTCTAGTGGACGCGCCTCTTTCCCAGAGCCCTCGCTTGGGCTTGCCGCCCTTTGGAGATGGTGGGCTCCTCTCCCGCGGGTGGGGGGTGTTTCACAAATGTACTTATCCCCCTCGCCCCTGCCCTTGAAGGCTGGGGAGGTTTTCCATTAGCCTTTGGTCACAGTGTCTGTCGGGCACCGGGAATCCTTGGAGGTCATGGGCAGCCTGGAGAGTGGGCGAGGCTATGGGGAGCACAGGGAAGACCTTCTGGGGGATGGCTCAGTTTCTCCTCTGCTCCTGGTCCCTGAAAAAAGGAGTAGGGTTTGAATCATGCTTCCATTCTTTAAGAACTTGAGTGAAGCCTCTGGCTTCCTGGCCTTGGTTTCCTGATTCTTAAACCAGAGGGAGAGAAAATCACGCCCTAGAGGGTAGCTTGAGACGGCTGTCCGGAACTCCTGTGGTGTTTGGAGAGGATGCCGCTGAGCTGTCCCATGCTTTAGCCGCTAGGTGTCTGTCACTCAGGAGCACTCGAAAAGTGGGTCCCTGCCACTGAACAGCCGAGCTGGCCGTGTTAT